AAAAAAAAAAAAAAAAAAACAGCGAAAGAGAAGAAGAAAGAAAGTGAAGGAAGGGGAAGTAGACGGCGAGGGTGACGAAGGTGAAGGTGCCGGCAGCCATAGCCGAGGTGAGGAGTTGAGCGGGCGTTGACCAGACCGTTAACCAGAGGGTTGACCAAGGGTTGACCAGAGGGTTGACTAGGCGTTGACCAAGGTGGTTGACCAAGCATTGACTGGGGTTGACCGTGTTGACCCAGCGTTGACCAAGGCGTTGACCGGGGCTGCTGACCAAGATTTTGACCAAGCTGGAGTTGGTGATACCTCGTTGACCCCTCAGCCTATCCCCTTACTCTGTGGATGTGCACACCCCTACGCTACTTGCTGAGTTGAGTCTGTTTGTCTTCCTTTCTGCATTGAGTCTCTTCTGTCCTAGGTGTTAGGACTTTGTGGATGAAGGATAGGGCCTTGCTGCCAAACCTACACGGGCTTAGTAGGACCAAAGCTTTACTCTGGCATCTGGAGACCTGGGCATGAGCGGCGAGCGCTCGTTAAACAACTCGTCTAGCCCAATAACCGGTACTGTCCGGCAGGTCTACTGAGTTCAGTGTAGAGGGTCTGAACTCTGAGCTGTAGGCTGAAACGAGGGCCGTCTTTAAGTGTTGAGGCCTGGTTGAGCCACTCCCCTACCGGACCTATTACAGCTGATGATCTGTGTCTGACGACTCGACTGTCCCGAGGGATACGAACCCCTCCAAGGACCGTTACAGACCAGCGGGCTGCTCGGTGTGGCACAGTAGGCTGGAACGGCTGAGTTGTGGGCTGAAATTGCCAGAGGAACCAAGCTGATCACGTCATCCTGTCTTCGACGTTAAAGAATTCTTGAGGAGTTACAGGGGATCTCCTTAAATGCCTCCTGATCAGCTCTTGGTTCAATAGTGACAGCCTTAGAGTAGTCTTGGGTTGGTAGTGACCATAGTTGACAGGGTCTTACCCTGTGGTCCTTAGGGAGTCAGTTAGTAGGTCAGTGTGTCCAGGTAGGTCCAAGTGGTGAGGAGTGGGACCCTTATCGTGCACCTGACACCACCATGGTAGACACCCGGCGCGACACCTCCACTATGTCGTACACAAAGGAGGAGGAGGCGAAGATGGCCGCCATCCTGCAAGAGAGAAAAGAAAAGAGGGAGGCCAAGAAGAAAGCCCTGCAGGAGGAGCAGGCGGCCAAGCTGAAGAAGCTAGAGGAAGAAATGGCCAGAGAAAAGGAGAGAATCAAGAAAGAGGAAGAGGAGAAGTTGAAAGAGGTGGAAGAGGAAGAAAACGAGGGACCGCCACTGGAAAGAAGGAGAGGGCAGCACAGTGGCAGCAAGGGTGAAGAAATGGAGAAACGGATTTCAGAATGGGTCGCTAATTTGTCCTTGGGAGAGGAAGAAGAAGTGGCTATGTATATCCCCAAGGATGACCAGGAAGCCGCCCTGAAGAAATGGGAAGCAGAAAAGGATATGTTGAAGCGACAGGCGATGGAGGATGAGCAGAGGATGGAATGGAAACTCGCGATGATGAGGGAAAAGAAGAGAAGGTTGGAGGCGGCGAGTGAGGCGGTCAAGGAGTTAGAAGAAGTGCAAAAATTAAGTCTAAAGTTGACCCCTCAGGTAGACCTCGAACGAAAGGTAGAGATCCTCGCCCAGAGTGTCGAGCATCTAGCAAAGATACAAGAACAGCAATACGAGTTTAGCCGAAGTCAGGACATAGCTATGCGCTCGATGCGAATGGGATTCCGGGACTTCGCCCGCGAACTGATAGGAGCCGTAGGAGCCGAGGTGAATCATCGCCTCAAAAAGACTGAGCGTTTCTGTGTTGGCGCCATTGAAGGTGTCAAAGTGGCAGCTCCCAAGGAGGAGGAAGCACGTCCTCCTCGCCGAGAGCCGGTCAAGGTCAAATTCCCTGATTCCTACAGCGGGAAGAGGGAAGAGAACTTTGACAACTGAGAGGCTAACGTCAAGACCTACGTGCATCTGCAACAGGTCTCCCCGGATCAGCATGTTTTGATTGCGATCCATGCGCTTAGAGATGAGGCCGCCAATTTTGCAAGGTCCCTAGTGCGCGCCGTTAACTGCAATGGTGATGCAGTTGCCTATTCGGCATCTACCTCCCTCACCGAGTTTATGAAATTGTTGCGCGAGCGATTGGCAGATGTCGCTCGTAGTGTCAAAGCCTCAGATAGGCTCCAGACAATCCACGCTCGTAAGTGGAAGAGTGCGAGGGCACTCAAGAGCACGATGGACGAACTAATCGCCGTTCCTGACCATGGGGTCACAGACACCCAATTGGTCGGCCTCTTCTACCGGGCTATCCCCGAAGCCTTGCGAGGGCACTTCTTCGCGAAGAGCGAAGATCCGACCACTACGTATGATTCCCTTAGTCGTGAAGTGGTGGCCTTTGAAGCCAAGTCAGCATCTGTGTCTACCTTCTGGCACAAAGACTTGGATAAGGGAAAGCAATGGAAGGGCCACAATATCTCTGGGCAAGTGAAGACTAAGGATAGCCTTGTCCTGACTTTAGACGAGGGTAGTGTGGATGAGATACCCTACGATCAGATTGAGTGGGGGTTAGAGGAGGATGACAGCGGTGTGGGCCAGGGGAGGACTTACGCTGCTGTCGCGGCTGGAGGGAGGCCGCAAGGAGGAGGACGAGGCCAAGGCCAAGGGGGCCGGGCCTCAGGGAGCCGTTTCCAAGGCGATCAGGGGGTTGGCGGTAGAGGAGGAAATCGCCAAGCGGGAGGCAGGGGTCAAGGTCCCCCGCAAAACCGTCCTAGGAATAGGTCTCCCTATAGGGTAGGAGGATGGCACCCAGGGCTACCTCAGGGTAGGCCTTGGGAATCTTTGGGTCTGGACCAGACTTTATGGCAACAACGATTGGACCGGGGTCAGTGCATTTTCTGCGGTGACCCGGGCCACATCATCGAGAGACCCGAACGATTGCCCAAGGGCCAAAAGGCAGCCGCCGGTAGGGGTAGCAACTGCCCCTACCACTAGGCCATGTGGGGAATATAGCGCTAGCCGGTAGGAGACTCCCACACCACATGTGCCTATGGCAGAGGTTGCAGGCCGGTGTCTAGACAGCTGTCCCGAAACTGCTTGTGTTAGAGTTTCGCTAGACACCTCCCTCACAGGCGTGGCCGAAGAGTTGAAGGAGAGGAGACCCGCCTGGGCCAAGATGAAGAAGGAGAATAAAGGGCAGCTGATTTTATTAGATGCAGAGATTTTTAGAAGTAGAGTAGGGGCCCTAGTAGACTC